ATATTTTCCCCAATGCATCCGGGATAGGAAGGTATCCGAATTTGAGCAACTAAAACAAGGCAAAATGACTGTGGCTGAATATGAAACAAAATTTACTGAGTTAGCCCGTTATGCACCTCACATGATAGACACTGACTACAAAAAGGCTAGGAAATTTGAAGGTGGGCTTGACTTAAATGTGTTTGATCGAGTGGGCGTCTTAAAATTGTCAAAATACGTGGATGTTCTTGATAGGGCCTTAATGTCTGAGGCAAACATAGCAGCCTTGAAAATATCAAAATCAACATCATCAATTGAATCAGAAAGAGCGAAATAGAAGAAACAGAAAGTCGAAATGACTAGTAATTCGATAACTTCTGCGAATGAAAAATCTAGGACGAAAACTGTGAACAAAGAAAGTCGGGGGAGCAACGTGATCAACAATATACCTATCTGTAGAGAATGTGGGAAACAACATTGGGGCATTTGTCGCAGCCTGTCAGGAGCTTGTTTTAGATGTGGACAGAAAGGACACTTAGCTAAATCTTGCTCACGAGCTCATCCAAACAACACCTAGAAGCAAGGAAGGGTTTACATCCTAGTTCCAGAAAATGCTCAGAATACTGAAACAACTGACGCAGGTATTACCTTAACTATGTGCAATTGTCTATATGGGAATTTGTGTGGGAATCGTTCGTTTCTTAACTTAATATAGATTGTGGGAATATTGACTAAACCAATTGAATTATTAGAATTATGAACCCTAGTTATTGACTGCCTCGAAGACTTACTAACTTTATATAAGATGCTTGAAACCCTATAATGAATCACCTGAGTTTTGGGAATTATTGGGACTTATGAACAATGAGAAATTGCCGGGTTAAATCTTCGTACCGTATTGCAAAACTTTAATATGAACTGTTAGGTGCGACCTTTTGAATTATATTGGACATGGGAACACATTATGATTGACTTTAACTTGGGAAAATCTGTATGACCATGACTTGAACTGAACCGTTTTATATTGACTGACATCATCGAATGATAAGACCCATGATCACGAATTGTATGTATGAATCAGTCACGTGGGGAATTTCTGAAATTGAGAACCTATGTCAGTTTGAAAGAATGAACTTCTGCTTGTGAATCTGCGAACGAATGCCTAAATAATAACTGATTTTAGACTCGTACCTGCATGCATGTTTTCATGCTTATAATATTATTAGAATTGATGGGGTTGAACTGTGGTTAATGAATACTTGGAGACCTACTGTTTGATGTGAACTATATGTGCGACGCTGTGGACCATTGCTAACAATTACCTATGCTATGGAAATATTTGGACTTATGTATATGCATACCTATGCTTGTGGATATTATTAGACTCTGGATATGTACATATATGACTATACCTTTGCTCAGAATGATTGATGTGATTATTTGTTGATAACTTGACCGTTGGGATTATGACTCTGGGAAATTGTTATATTGACTGTGACGCTTACTTATTGATATGAACAATTACATACCTGTGCACCCACATGTGAACTTATTTGGAGAATGTAACATTGTATATGACATCAACTATTGTGATACATAACCCTGATATGATTTGAGAACCGAGGAATTTAGAACAACTGTAGAACTACTGACTATGCACCTAAGTGAATGGAGTATGAACTATAGAACAAATGTGCTTCGTTTGGAAATAATAAGGCTAGAACCTTTACCCGATCTAATTTGATAGAGCTGTGGTTTGATGAGACCTTTGTTTGACTGATGGAACTTCTGTTTGATGACTCACGCTTTGAACTTCTGTTTGATCTGATTAGACGGAACTTTCAGCTAATGTGATCTGATAGGACCTTTCATTTGATGTGATCTGAGAAGACCCTTACCTAAATTGAGAACTATTGTATGAATTATTTACGATATGGGGGACTATGAATTACTTATGACCGAATGATCGGACTGTGTTATTACGGGAACTAATCAATTGAGAACTTGAATCAATCTCGAACACTTGGGAAGAATGTGAACCGTCAACAGCAGACTATGTGATTATGAATAGCTTCTTACTATATACCAGTAACCGATTAGGGAAAACACGTGAATGAGATTATGAAATTTGGTAACTTGTGCTTGGGGAATATGGGAATACTGTATACATGACACGTGATTAATTACTCCGGTATTACCGTTACTACCATGAACTTGGTTGACTAGAGCATGATTGTTTTGGTGATACTGCACTTCAAACTGATGGGATTTGTGGCAACAGACTGGTTGATTATAAACTCTGACTACCTGGGGGTATATGTAATCAGTATGGCTGCTTCTGTGTTGACACATAATACAATTGAGCTTTAAAAATTATATCACACATTTCCAAGTTTTCAATTCCATAACAATCATCTCTTTTAATAATAAATTATCAAATTAATTAATAGCTTTTAATAATATTATAAATATATTTTAATTAATAATTCAAATACTTTTATTGTTGTATAGGTGAGTAGTTTGGAAATTTTTTTTGTTAATTCTAATAAATAAATAATTGTGATAAGGTGATAGTATTTGTAATTTTTAAATTTACAAAGAATAATCTGTATTTTAAACAAATCTGAAGACGGAGTATTTTTAATTTACCATTTTTTTTATTTTGTAATTTATTACACCAAGACCCCTCAATTATTAACAAATATTGTTTTACCGTCTCAATCCCTTCAATTATAAAAATTATACAAATACATATTTTTTTAGAGGTAATTTAGAAGGGTGAAATTTATACATTTTTATTGTCGACCGCGGTTAAAATGCAAGAGTTCTTATCTGAAGGGACGAAGTGATATGTGGTAATAGTTTTGGAAGTTTTGGGGTAATCAATCAATTTTTATTCAAAAAATAAATAATTTGGGTAGCCAAATTATTTTTTTATAATAAATTATACTTTTTCATCCCTATAGTTTATTTTATTGTTTCAATTTAAACAATTTTATTCATACATTTTAGGTCTATTTTAAAATTTATTTTTTTGTCTAATTTTTTGTTAATTTTAATTATTTTCCTCCAAGTGTTTCAAAATCATTCATTTTGGCCTCTAGCTTTAATGAAATAACCAAATTAAAACTAAAATTTAAAGTATATGAATCAAATTGTTTAATTTAAAATAATATAGACAAAAATAAAATTTTAATAAAATTACAAAAATTATAATGTAATTTACCGTATTTTTTAAAATATATTTACACTTTCCACTATGTTGAGTGAGCTCTCTTATTATGTCACTTTGGACATTAAACATGTTTTTTTTTTTTCATGCTTTCAGGATTATATCTGTCATTTCCATAAAATGCCTCTAGGTGTGATGATATCTACTTTTGGACTATATCTTGGCTTCTGTAATGCTATATTTTGCACACCTCTCTACAATTCATATCATCCTTGATTATTTTTAAAATTGGTTCAAATACTCAGGCCTCGTTTGGCAACCGAATTTTTTAGTCAAAAAGCTAAAAAGTTATTAAATTAGTCAAAAAGTCAACAACTCATACCAAAAAGTCAAAGATTCTATTTTCTCTATACTTTTTGCACATCTTTTCGTAAAAAATCAAAAAGTCATCCCAAACATACTAGTTTTTTTTAGCTCATATTTTAGCCAAATAATCAAAAAGTTACTAAATTAGCATGTTCCCAAACGAGGCCTCAATATCAACCCAGGCTTGTATTTTAGACAAGTTGACTCAGATCAAATGAGACTGGCCTTAAGTTTGAAGTATAACTCGATCCATTACAGACAACCCGGTTAATGAGCCAAGCAATAAACAAAGGTCATGTTTGATTCACAATACTAATAGTGAGGTATTAATAATCCTATCAAATTATATCCCACCCAACTATCCCACCCCTACCCCATTACTAATAATCCTACAAATTTATTGGATTAATTATCCATTGGATTAATAGTCCTAAACCAAAATGTCAAAACAAATATAGGATGATTGGGCCCACGAATTAATAATCCTAATCCCATACTTTAATCTTTCCAATCAAACATGCCCAAAAGATACAACACAAAAATATGTATGAATCTTGCCCATTAGGCTGAGCCTGTGGCCATATGTTCCGCGATAAATAACTTATTAGTTTAAGGTCTTTTCAGAAGTGGGTCACAAAAAGCTAATTATAATCAGCTTTTAACTAAAAAATTGATTATAACCATCTTCTGAAAATAGCTTAAGATATTAATTATTGGTTGGGTAAAAAAGAAAGGGTAAATTACAAATACATCTTGAGATTTGCTTAAGATACATATTGCTACACTTAATTTGAAAAATTACAAATGTCCCTTGTTAAAATTTGTCATTTAACAAAATTAATTAAAAAAATAAAATTCATAATTGCTCTCCTATATAATAATAAAATTACTTAAATTATTAATTGAAACATATTTCTAACATCATTAAAAACAGTTAATTGACTTGATAATTTATTAATAAAATGAGCGATTTGTTATGAAATTAGAAATATCAAGGGATAGAATGTAATTTTCAAAATTATAGATGTGATTTGTGTTTTAATCAAATCTTAAGGAATGAATTTATAATTTACCCAAAAAGAAAACATGTTGAGATTATCCTGCTTGGACAACATTTTTGACATTACGACTCATAATAATGATACTCTACATCATGTTATTTCTCAACGCCCATTTTAATCCGAAATATTATTATTTTTATTGTGTTTTATTAATATGAACTTTAATAAAAAAAAAAAAAAAAAAAAGCCCAAAATATTAAATAACTTATAAAAACAAAAGTTCAGAGCAACTAAACATTATTTATTATTATCATTATCATATATATACATTGATATTATATCTTTTGGTATCCATTTGAATGATTCTTAAAAATCAAGGGAAGTTAGTCCAAAGTAGAAACCTATAGGGGAGTGAGTTGAGATTACAAGAAACTTCGACGAGTATTCGATAAATACACACTCTTTTATATTGGTGGAGGAGGCTACAGTTCTGTTTGGCTTGAGCTCCTTCACTTCAGCTAGAAAAGGATCAAACTATCAGAGTAGGGTTTTTAGGGTTTAAGAGTGGCTAGGATTGGGTTTTCCCACTGCTAGGGTTCAATTTTCTCACCATTTTCTCTCTCATTTCCTCTATTTGGAACTTCTGATTTCCTCTATCGGAGTCTCAGATCACCATGTGGGCGCTTCGTCGAGCTTCTAATCCTCTCAAGTAACACCTTCCTGCATCTCTCTCTCTCTCTCTCTCACTCTCTCACTCTCTCTCTCTCTCTCTCTATATATATATATGGGTTTTGTTAAATATTTGTTATGTAGTTGCTGAAATTACTGAACTTTGAAAGGCCTGTCCTGTTTGGTTGCTGAGAAAGTGGGGGAAAAAATAAAGAAAGTGAAATTTTAAGTCCTAATGGCTACTGTCATTTCTGGGTTTTGTTATATCTGCGTTATGTAGTTGCTGAAATTGTTAAACTTTGAAAGGTCTGTCCTGTTTGGTTGCTGAGAAAGTGGGGGGAAAAGTAAAGTAAATGAATTTTTTGAGTCCTGCTGGTTACTGTCATTTCTGGGTTTTGCTGTATATTATTTATGTAGTTGATGAATTCGTTGATTGTTGAAAGGTCTGACATGATTGTATTTTTATCAAAATTATATATACATTTTTTTCGGGTTTTGTACTGAAGAACAAGGGTTTCTGTTGGCTAAACGTTGTTACCGTGTTTGGTTGCTGGGAAAGTGGGGGGAAAAAGTAAAGGAAGTGAAACTTCAAGTCTTGTGGCTACTGTCATTTGTGGGTTCTGATATATATTTGTTACGTACTTGATGGAGTTGTTGAATTTTGAAAGGTCTGTTGTGGTTGTAATTTTATAAAAAAATCTATTTTTTTTCCTGGTTTTGTTTTAAAGAACAAGGGTTTCCGTTGGCTAATCATTGGTTACCTTGTTTGGTTGCTGAGAGAGTGGGGGGGAAAGAAAAGAAAGTGCAACTTTGAGTCATATGGGTAGCTTTCTATTAATGAAAAGATTTGGACTCATTAAGACAAATATTTCTAGTAAGTCTTTGTGAATCCATACGACTTTCGTTCTTCCATTTCTTTATCATTAACTATCAATTGACTTGGGTTCTTGGGTACTTCAAGATGGAGATAATTGAAGTGTTGATTTTCTTATTTATTGTCATCTTATAACATTTCTAAGCAACAAAACAAAATGTTAGGCGCTCATTACTTGGAAATCGGTTTTTTTCGATCTTCTTTTCCTTTTATTTATTTGCGTTCAGTTTCTTTTGGTCTTTATGTTCAATTAAAATTTCAAACGTGCACATGGACGAACACTTTTTATTTTAAAAAAAAAAAACTTGCAGGACTGAATCCAAGCAGGGCATTAACTCTTGTTATTGACATTCTTCTGCAAAAAAACATTATGCTGTACAGCCTGTACATTGTTTCGTTATAAACTTTATAATCCTCACCAGGGAAAAGCAGGGCCTTATTATATTTAATAAATTGGTCAGGGGTGAAAATAGAGTACAAAGCAGGCAGTAAATTGTTGAGGGAGATTCCTCCCATTTATTAGTACCTACGTACATATAATTTATAAACAATAAATTAATGCAATTTTGAATATTGGTTGCATGCCTGTTACTGATTCATGTTTTGGTTTCATAATTGCTTTCATTGACTGCATTCAGGAATCGAGTGCTTGGCATCGGAACTTCTAGAGCTTGTTGTGCTAAATCAGAAGTAGCAAGTTGTTGTTTAGATGTCAAAGCCAGTAATGGTGATTCTCACCTAGTAGCATCTGATGGATGCATCTCTTTGAAGAGATTTTACAGTGCAGCACATGGTTCCCCAAATTTCTTTATGGGGTGTTGCAGTTTTTCTTCACAAGCTGACACAAAAAGCAGTGCACAAGAAGAAGATGATTTGGAGGATGGGTTTTCTGAGCTTGAGAATGCAGCTAGTGCTGCTGATGTGGTTCAAGACAGCAATGTTGACAATTTAAACGAAGATCAATTAATTTCTGAACCAGAGCTCTCTGAAGAAGAAGATGATGGTGATGGTGTAGAAGAACCTCAAAATGAGCTGGAATTATTTGATACTGAGGCAGAAATAACTGAGAAAAGACCTAAGCGTTACCCAAGAACTACGTAAGACCTGATTCCTATCTTTGAGATACGTAGGCAACTTCATCCTAAAGTTCGGCCCCAAGCATTTTTAACTTGCTCGTTCATGTTTGATTGGTGTATCTGTATTCAACTCGGCTATCCCGTCCATGTTCAATTGGGTTATCTTTATTCAGTTGATTATCTTATCTCTTCTTTACGGCAAATTCAACTGCAAGACAAATCAAGCTCGGGTTATTTGTGCATCTCAAAGGTTGATTCCATGTCGGTCATGTAGTGGTCATTTATGAAAACGGGTTTTGAGGATTTTAATGAAGTTGACTGATTTTCTCGAAATTATTCCATTTTTGTAAAACCCATACCATTTTTGGACCAAAAAGGAAAAATTCTCAGTGCTCATAGCTTGACTTGCATGATTTCAAAACAGAGAGTGGAACAAGCATGCTTATTTAACTCTCATGTTGGCCAAAATCTTTTTAGCAGAAAACCCAAAAAATAATCAAAGCGATGAACTACGGACACAGTCGAGTCAGGTTTTTTTTTGTCTTTTCTCCATATTCTCAAAAGTCTCCATTGTCAATTCACTCACCAGAAAGTGCACAATAGTTATCTCTAGCAATGTACCAAGCCCGCAATATTCTAAACCGCGCCCATATTCATCACGTCCACGATATTCTAAACCGCGCCCGTGATCGTTGCGCCCGCAGTGTTTCTAATTGCGCTCGCACTGAAGTTGAGTGTCTTTCATTCCAGCAAGTGCAAATAAGTGTGTTTGGATTGTTTTTGCTTTGTTTTTTGTTTCACTGAGTCTTTCTTTAATTTCTGGTCAATTGAGGGTTCAATGTCCAATTAGGTAGGGATTACTTTGACACTTTTGTATGGTTTTTTTAACTTAGTTATTTTCTTTTCTAAACAAGATTGTGATTTGGGAATCTTTGGATAAAACCTAGGGTTTTGGCTTTGAAAATAAAAGAGGGGTTTTGAAAATGGTTTCCTGGAAATGATTGTGGGAATGTAGATATGGTTGAGTTGTGATAAAATGGGGATTTTCATCCTTGAAATTGATTTTCAAAGAATGGGTATTTTTTCCCTAAAATGTGAATGTTGGACTTTGTAAAGAGCAAATGGAATTGATGTTGGTTTCATGGAATTAGAATGATGATGATGAGGGTGGTGGTGGGGGATATAAATTATCACTCATATTTGGAAATGTTAGAAAGTATATTTGGAAATATTGAAAAACAACCTATACCAAAAAGTCAAAGAATCTCTTTTCTTTTTACTTTTTGCATATCTTTTCGTAAAAAAGACAAAAAGTCATCCCAAACACACTAGTTTTTTTTACATAATATTTTAGTCAAAAAGTCAAAAAGTTACTAAAAAAGCTTGTTCCCAAACGAGGCCTAAAATCTGATCTCAACAAATAAACTTGCGTGCTGCACTTTTACATGTATGATATAACACCTAGTGTGTGAGGAAAAAGCACAAGAGCAAGCACTGAACTGTTCTGTTATTCCATATTTGTGCTTCATATTTTGCAATAGCTTGCTTCGCATTTGTTTACCTAAGATGTTGAGAAATGATTTGTTGTTAGTGGCTGACCATTTTTTACTACCCTTTTTTATCCTGATTTGTCAAAGACACGGCCCTTGTCATTTTTCAGTTTTATTCATAGTTCTTTGGTTTTGCAGCTCTCAGAGTGGCTGGAGTCAACTAAGCAGCTCGACTTTGTTGAGAGAGATTATGCTTCTCGCCTTGATTTGATTTCCAAGGTACGGGGTCTCCAAAAGGCCGAGAACTACATTGAGAAGATCCCGAAATCCATGAGGGGAGAAATCACATATAGAACTCTTTTGGCTAATTGTGTTGCCGCAAACAATTCGAAGAAAGCAGAGCAAGTGTTCAACAAAATGAAAGACCTTGAATTCCCGATCACAGTCTTTGCGTGCAATCAGTTGCTCCTCCTATACAAGAGACTCGACAAAAAGAAAATAGCTGATGTGTTGTTGTTAATGGAGAAAGAGAATGTGAAGCCAACGCGCTTCACGTATAGAATCTTGATAGACACCAAAGGCAAATCTAATGACATAACAGGGATGGATCAGATTGTTGAGACTATGAAAGCTGAAGGGATTGAACCCGATTTAAACATACAAGCAATATTGGCTAGGCACTATGTCTATGGTGGGCTCAAAGAAAAAGCCGAGGCTGTTTTGAAGGAGATGGAAGGAGGCAACACGAAAGAGAACCGTTGGGCTTGCCGTGCTTTGCTTCCTCTGTATGCTGCTCTCGGAAAGGCCGATGAAGTGGGGCGAGTTTGGAAGGTTTGTGAGTCTAATCCCAACCCCGATGAGTGCATGGCTGCCATTGAAGCTTGGGGGAAACTAAACAAAATTGAAGAAGCCGAGGCGGTCTTCGAACGGATGTTGAAAACGTGGAAAAAGCTATCTTCAAAGCATTATTCAACGCTCTTGAAAGTTTATGCAAACCATAAGATGTTGGCAAAGGGAAAGGATCTTGTGAAGCGAATGGCAGATAGTGGGTGCCGGGTTGGCCCATTGACGTGGGATGCGCTTGTGAAGCTCTACGTGGAGGCTGGGGAGGTCGAAAAGGCCGACTCAATTCTACAGAAAGCTGCACAGCAGAACCAGATGAAGCCGCTGTTCAGTTCTTACATGGCGATTATGGACCAGTATGCGAACAGAGGCGATGTGCACAATGCTGAGAAGATGTTTCATCGGATGAGACAGTCTGGGTACGTGGGTCGGCTTAGGCAGTTCCAAACTTTGATCCAGGCTTATATTAATGCCAAGTCGCCAGCCTACGGGATGAGAGAGAGGATGAAGGCAGACAATATTTTCCCAAATAAAGCAGCCGCTGAGCAGTTGGTTCAGGTTGATGCATTTAGGAAGTCGGTGATGTCGGATTTGCTCGACTGAGCGGTGAGGGTTTTAAGAAGTTCCAAGTGAATCAAAGTTATGTTGTTTGGGTACTTATTTTTTACTCTTGTTTATACCAAACTAGTAGGGATTTACTTGTAGGCGGAAACATTTTTGGATCATGCTTTTTGCTGTATCTGCTGCTATTGAAGCTTTTTAATATGTCAGTTCATATGTCCAAATCCACCAGATTGATTTTGCTGAGTTTTTATAACAAATTTGCTACCACATCTCTGTTATTATTCACAGGGAGACCATATGCCCAAACCCCGAGTGTGTGATCAGATTTAATAAGCATTGATATTCGATTAATATAATTTTTTTGATAAAAATAATATTTTAGATGAATTTTATGCATTGAACAATTTAAATTATGAAGTACTGTTTACTCTGATTGTAAATTAGTGCTCATCCCTAGAGTTCAACAAGCATCGACAATTCTGTCTGGGTCTAAATATAAAAATTTCTCGTGTTTAAACCTAAGATGATATTACAGAGTTCATCTAAGAAACTCATATATTGCATAAAAATTAAGTATTAATAATTTTATAATTGATTTGACATAAAAACTAAATATTTAGTCATCATATATTTTTTATGTTTTAAACAATTAAAAAATAATATTTTAAATATTTTACGTACGCTTATATTATGTTTAATGGATAATATAATTTTTTGTTTGACTTTACTAAACGAAAATAGACAAATGATTTAAATTGAAAATAAAAAAAAATGAAAAAATTAGTTTAAGATCTCTGTCCAACTTTTGATAGGAGGAGAGGTTCATAATAATATTTTTTGATACCTAAGGTCCCTCAACCTTATTTTACGTTATAAAATACCTAATTACCCTTCTTTATAACATAAGTTTATTTAGATTTTGGCAAACTGAATATTCTATTACTGACTTTACGGTGGAGATTTTGGCACAAACTGACTTCATAGTGGAGATTGCGTAGGGATTTTGCAAGTGTTGCAGTGGACTTGATGATGGAGATTGCTATGATCGTGTAGGTGTTACAGTGGTGTTGATCGTATAAGTTTTTCAGTGGAGTTGAATCAGGTATGTTTTCGATGGAGATTCCATATGGATTTCGATTTTTGTTTTGAATTTTATGTAAGGATTCCGATTTCATATTAGTTTTTCAAGTGTATTTTTGCATTAGGTTTTTATTTTCAGTTTTGATCAATTTAAAAGAGAGGCTAGCTCAGTGAAGTTGTTTATGATTTTTGGTGTTGATTTTTCATTCTCTATTATTGATCGATTTTAGAGAGAGGCCAACTTGATAGAGTTGATTTGATTTTTGGAGTTCATTTTTCATGTTCTATTTTTTGATCAATTTTAAAGAGAGTTGACAGTGGAGTTGGTTTTGATTTTTAGAGTTCATTTTTCATACTCTGTTTTTCATCAACATGCTTATCAATGATAAGTTTTATTCTCTATTTTTTCAAACCAGAGAAATTTCTTTAAACCAGAGATATGTGTAAATTTCTTATCATTTTTTATTCTCTGTTTTTTCTTTACTTTTGTTAGTATGGTCCAGAGAAAATTGTAAGTTTGTTATTATAATCTAACGAAAATCACAGAGAAAATTATAAGTTCATATGGATATATTATTATAAGTTTCTAATGCAGATAGAATCTCAGAGAAAATTGTAAGTTTGTAGTTCAGTGAAAATTACATAGAAAATTGTAAGTTTGTAGTCTCGTGAAAATCACAAAGAAAATTGTAATTTGTTATGGGCATGTTATTATAAGTTTGTTATTTATTTATTTATGTTTTCCTCAATTGAATGTTTTGTGAGCATAACAAATCTTCTCTATGAGTTTCTCTGCGTTTATATGGAATAGTTAACATTTTTGTCAATTTGATGTTAATGTGTTTTTGTTTTTGTGATCTTGATAGTGAATATAAGTTCTTAAATTTCTTTGGACTTTTATTTGTAGTTCAGAGAAAATTATAAGTTTGTCATTCACTTCTAGTTTGTAGTTCAGAGAATATTATAAGTTTATAGTTCAAAGTGAATATAAGTTTTTGTTTCTCTAAGCAAAAGTTACTTTTTGTGTTTTTTCTTTCAGTTTAGATGGACGGTGTAATGTTTTTTGTTATTTTGAAGGTGTATATAAGTTTGTAAATTTCTCTGGATTTTGATATGAGTGCAATATTGCACAATCACACAGAGAAAATTGTAAGCTTGTAGTTCAGTGAAAATCACAGAGAAACTTATAATTTCATAACAAATCTTCTGTATGATTTTTATCCATGATTGTGTTTAATAGTTAGCAGTAAATTTCTCTGTGATTCTCTCTGGATTCATTAAGTTTTCTATGATTTTGTTTTTATTATCTTGAAGGTGAATATAAGTTTATAAATATCTCTAGACTTTATTTGAGTCCAGAGAAAATTATAAACTTTCTATTATAATCCAGAGAAAATTATAATTATTAAAAATTTCTCTGGACTTTTATGTTGTTCTTGTGAATTGTTTTTATATTGTACAAATTATTTTTCTTGTTTTTTCTTTCAGTTTTGATGGACAGTGCAGTGTTGTTGCTATGCAAATATGGGAATGATACTACTGTCATTAATGTTTCATGTGAATTGAATTTTGATGAATTAGTTGGCATTTTGTGTAAAATATGGAAGAATTTGAAACCTGAGACGATGTGTATTTCATATTCTATTATGGGTCATCTGAATTGTATGGTTCGAAATAATATTGATTTTCTGAATATGTTGAGGGTTGTTTGTTCACGTGGTGTTGATGTAGTTAATGTTTCAGTTATTAGGTGTAGTACTTATGATAAAGAGGATGAAGTGAGGTCTAATTGGGTAGATGTTGTGCATAATGAATGTGATAGGCTCGTGGATATTGAAAAGAATCCACTCTCTAAGTTTTGTTCTCACCAAGAAAAGGTGTTATTGTCAACTGGTTGGCAAAATAATGTTACGAGTGTTGGACAAAAGTTTGAAAGTGGTGTGGTTGAGTTTCGTACTGTTTTATGCAAGTATGCTATTGAGGTTGGTTTTCAGTTTATGTATGTTAAAAATGACAAGCTGAGAGTTACGTAGGGGTGGGCAACGGTTTATCCAAACCGCTCAAACCGCCAAACCCGCATATAAATAGGTGGTTTTGCAAATATAATGCGGGCGGATGCGGTTTGAAATATGACAAATTTGTGGGTTGTGGGCGGGTCGCGGATTAAACCCGCAACCCGCAAAAATCGCCCGCACTTTAATTATTATTATTATTTTTTTTATATATACCAACTTTGTAACTTTAACAAGAACACCATTATGTTCTCTATGACACTAGAATCCTTATTTTAAAGTATTTCTCAACTTTCTTAATGCCGTAGAATTATCAAGTCCTAAACTTAGGTTCTTATATGAATTTCATTGGTGACTCATCCACTTTTCCTAATAAAATTTTCCTTTTGGTGGTCAATGGAACTTCTAGTTTGATTATTGATTATTGAACTGACAATTCTAATTGAGTACAAGCTTTAATGCATTGATATACATTTTTTTCATGGCAAAAATGCTAGTGTAGGGTCTCTTTGTTTTGGGTACTTTCATTTAATGCATTGATATTCAATTTTTATTTGTAAACTCATCAAAAAATTGTTATCACATATATATAAAAAGAATCTGATGCCTAAATTCGCTGGAAAAAAAAAACTCGAAAATTAATTTTTAAAGAAAAAAGTGTAAACCGCAAACCGCCCGCAACCGCCCGCACATTTGCAAACCCCATCCGCACAAACCGCAAACCGCACTGCGGGCGGTTGCGGGTTGACTTTTTTCCAAACCGCATAGATGCGGGCGGGTCAAAACCGAACCGCAAACCGCACAAAACCGATCCGCGAACACCCCTAGTAGCAATTTACAAGTAGACTAGACCGAGATCACCGTTTAAACACTTGTTGAAACTTGAGAAAAAGTTTGCAAAGTTAACATTGAGTAGCATATGTTTCGCACTTGTTAGAATTTATGAAAAGTTTGCAGGTCAGTATCTTGCCGAAGTAAAAGTTTTGTAGCTATTATACCCGAGGTATGTAACCCCGAGAAGATTGCACAAAGGAGGCAAAGTATGAAAGGCATACAAAAAATTCTAAGTATAGAGTCAAACAGAGGCATTCAAAGAAAGGGCAAAAAAGAATGCAGTCATTCAAAGAAAGATAGTTATGTTAAAATATCCAACACAAACAGAAGGCACATCGGCCGTACAGAGAAGCTTCTACTGTCCAGAAAACAAAAAAGTACAAAAGACAAGAAAAGAGGGACATGAAAGTTATGATTCTTCTACTTCAGGCGCAATTTGAGACTGGACCTCGGCCGATTCTTGGAGAACTACCTCGGCTGACTCCTGAAGAGCTACTTGGCAGTCTTTTCCGCATTGTGTGAATTTTCTCTGGATTTGGCCACTGTGTGAAGTTTCTTTGGATGTTGGCAGTGTCAAATTTCTCTGGTTATTTATTGTTCTAATTTTCTCTGCATGTGTATATCTAATATGCTTGTTCTTATTTGTTTTGTAAGTTTTTTTCCTACAGCTTTTGCCGTTGTTGATGCTGAGAATAAAGACAATTGGTGTTGGTTCCTTGAACATTTATATGAAGTATTAGGATCGGAGAGGGTGATAAGTTTCATATCAGATCGACATTGTGGTATTTATGGAAGGAATTGCTAGGCTTTTTCCTAATTGCTATCATGGATTTTGTCTTGAACATCTAAAGAGAAATTTGAGGGATAGGTTATCATGTAGAAACACAAATTTGGTTAGGGAGACGATTGTGTCCAAGTTTTTAGAATGTGCATATGTGCTAACAATTGCATTCAATTTCAAGTTAAATGAATTAAAGGGTGAGAGAGGAGACATTGTGAGTATTTTCTTGAGAAGTTTACCATATGAAAATTAGAGTGATGCATATTTTGAGGGGAAACGTTATGGTGAGACTTATTCAAATGTTGCTGAGTCATTCAATTTATGGATATGAGAAGCTCGACACTTGCCAATAACAAATTTGGTGAACATGATACGGTTACAAATCATGAATATGAGATCTAATAGGAGGTTGCTCTCTAGTAAATGAAATAAAGTTCTCTGTCCTTGTATGGATAGTGTATTGGAGAAGGCTTTTATGGATGGGAGGACATGGAATGTGAGTTTATCATCTGACAATGTCTTTAAAGTGCATTGCTTTCCTTCGGTTATGGTTGGTCTTGGGTTGAGAACTTGTTCATGT